TTCTTCAAGCATAAAATAGAACCAAGCACTACTATTCGTGCTTCATTTTTCTCACCTGTGAAACAGAAGTGTAGTCTCTCCTCCCATACCATTTTAGTCAAAGGTGGGTTTCATGTAGGACATTGGTTCAAAATGACTAAAATGGAGCTGAAAATTCTCTATCCCCTAGTCACAATGGAGCCATGCTAACACTGTAGTTTGATGCATTCCCATGTATGTGTTGTGATGCTGGGGTGAACAAATCTGCTTGGACAGTGCTCTGGTTAGTTTTTGCCAACTTGACACACAGTAGAGTCATCTGGGAAGAGGAAACCTCATTTGAGGAACTGTCTCCATCACACTGGCCGGTGGACATGTCTGTAGAGTATTTTCTTAATTGCTAATGGTATAGGTGGCCTAGCCCATTGTGGGTAGAACCATCCCCAGGCAGCTGTACCCAGGCTGTATTTAAAAAAGCAAAGCAAAACAAAAAAGCTGAACAAACATGGGGGAGTGTAGAGCATAGTCTTCCTTGCCAGTCGCCTGGGACCTGCCACACAGTCTGAACCCCCAAATAACACACAGGACATTATATTAATTATAAAGCTGTTGGCCGTTTGCTTGGTTTCTTACTGGCTATCTCTGACTTAAGTATTTAACCCATAATTGTTAATCTAAGTATTTCTCTTACCAGGGAAAAGGGTCCGGGACCTCTTACTCCTCTGGCCTCCTACATGGTGTCTCCCTGTCTCTTTCCCAGAATCCTCCTAGACTCCTAGTCCCACCTATCTTCCTTCCCTATTGGCCAACAGTGCTTTATTCAACAACCAATAAGAGATGGATCTACAGAATGGCATCTCCCATCATCTCCTCTTTTCTGTATAAATAAAAAGAAAAGTTTTAACATAGTCAAATTATATATAACATCAACAGTTATCAAGTAAGAACTATAGTTACAATATTTTGTCCATTAACATTTAGTAAGATTTAAAGAAAATATCATCTATCCTATCTTTGTGAGTCTAAAGTCTTATAAGTAGCTTATCTTTTATCATAACTAAGGAAAACTATAATTATAACTATCTGTCTTCAACTCCATCAAAGACCACAGAAGGATAATATATAAACACTAGAATTGACAGAGACATCTTGCTACCTGCACAGTCACCTGAAGTTCCTCTGTAACATTGGGGCATCCATCTTCAGCCCATAGGCCACAGTGTGTCTGGAAGACTTCTAAGCAAAGCAGGAAATTACAAACTGTCCATCTGCATTGGCAGTCTGTCAGTCATTTTTCTGTGTCTTGCAGAAAATCTGGTAGACTCTTCCATGAATCAGGAACCCTGAAGGACTGTTTGAGTTCAGCAGTCACTTTCCTATGGGTCCTGCTTATCCAGTTTATACAGCAATAGTCAAACAGTCCAGGCAAGAGCAGTTTCTTGCCCAAATGGCTAATCTTGCCATTTTGAAAGCAAACTCCATAACAAGTTTCTTCCGATGCCCATCTTCCTCTCAAACGTAATTGGTGCTGCTAGGAGCAGATATTTCTCATTGTCAAGAAAAACCCTAAACCATTTTAAATGCCATTTTCTGAAGGTCTTTGAAAGGTTTGAAGACAATCTATCTATCTGAAATATACTTCTGTATATCCAGAAAACCTAACTTACCTAACTATAAATTCTGACTATTATAAGTAACTATCTATAGTCTGTATTTAATTATGCATTATGTTTTAAAAGATCAGTATAAGCAAAATACTTAATCAAGAGGAGAAATATACATATCACAAAATTGACCTTCAATTTGTATCAATAAATGAAAAACCATACCAATACAAAGTATTCATTTCCATACCATAATATACCCCTTTTACCTTTAAAAAGAGATTGGTTGCGATCATTAACCAATTATATGCAACCCCATTCAAATGAAAACAAAGATTTATAAACAATAGGGGAATTTGGACGTTGGGCATTCCAAACTGCTTCCTGCTGATTAGGGGTGCTGTCCATATCGTGAGGATCATGACAAAACTCAGAAACCTGGATAAGTCCTTATTTTTGTGGTCTGTAAGAATACATCATCTTAGCTGTCTTAATTGTTGGAACACCTGGCCCACTGCTTCCAGGGGACTTGGTTCATCAAACCATATTAGTCTGGAAGGAATCCACGGCTTTTCATTTTCTGTGGAAACGTAAACAAAAACTCTTTCCCCAAGTAGCCTGTCCTTATATTTAAGGTTAAAAGTCAAAGCATTTTCAAAAGATATAGGTTGGATTAATTCAACAGCATTGATAATCAAGTGTACTTTAGCAGTTGTTCCTTTTTTAGCAATCGAAAAACTGAAAAACACAATAGCATACAGTATCTAGACTCTCTGTGTATTTTCCATCTTTTCATGGCTTTGTTATTACTTTACTTCTTTTACTTCTATTTATTCTTTTCTCTGAGACAGGGTATCTCTTTGGAAATCTACCTGCTTCTGCCTCTGGAGTGCTGGGATTAAAGATGTGTGCCACCACACCCAGCTACTTTATTTTTATTTTTTCCAATATCTTGTTTCTTTTACTCTCCCAAGTCTACCTATATTTTTCTTCATCAGAATCTGACTTTACTGTAAAACTTTGTTTTTCTGCCCACGTGTCTTATATAGGCTAAAGATCATTGCTAAAATTAAAGCAGAAACAGCCGCTGGCTTTCCAACATGGCAGGCATAAGCTTGATTCCTGCTCACTGCCTCAGTCTATGCTGACATCCAGCAGCATGGTGCCGGCTTGGAGATATGGTCACTGCCACTGCCAGATGCTTGTGCACACCATTTAATTGTTAACAGAGCCTCTTAAAAGAACCTTGCTGCTTTTGTTTGTTTGTTTGTTTGTTTTGCTTATGCTGAGTCAGGAAGACGCCCTTAAGTGAGCTGCATGAGTCTCTGCTTGTCTCTAGCAAAACAGAGCCCACCTGAGAAAAATGCTGCTACCAAGAAGCTGTGCTTCTCTCCATTCTTTTGTTTCTAAAATTCCTTTTAAGCTTTTGTCATTCTACATGGAAATTCATATCCCACTTCTGGTACAAGGGGGGAGGGCAGTAAACAGCATTCATCCACAATTTCAGCTTCAACTCTGGTCTTGGTTCCTGCCTTGGTTTCCTTTGATGACAGCCTGTAACCTGTAAAACAAACTCTTTTTTCCCACAAGTTGTTTTTGATCAAGATAGGCGTGAAGAAGAATTAACGTAGACACCATTGTAGTCAAGCTACCTACTGTGCTTAGTATAGTGACATGCTGGGCATCCCTGAAGCCTCAAATTAATGGGCTATATCATTTAGCTTAGGTATATAGTAGACTATCCAAGTGAGGTTTGTGTAAGCTCACTTTGTAATGTTTGCACACTGATGGAATTGCCTAGCCTAGCATTTCTCAGAGTGCGTCCTGAGAAGACACATGGCTCTGTTAATAATAAGGACAGGCAATATCGATAGGATTTGCTTTGCTCTAGGTACCACAGGCATTTATTAGCTCACAGTTTCTCTGGGTTAGGAATTTGGACAAGGCCACCCACATCCTCTGCTCCAGTCTCAGAGAGTTCAATTCAGGCCTCAGGTGAAGGATCTGGTAGGGAAAGGTGGGTTTACAAGATCACTCATGTGGGTTTTGGCAGGACTTAATTCCTTGCTGCTGTTGGATAAGAGCATTGTCCATAGCTGTCTATCAACAAGAGCTAACTTTTATTCCTTCCTAGGTGAGCTAGGCAACTAATCAACACAAATGGCTGGCACCAGAACAAGACAGAGATCAAGAGAAAGCAAGCAAGATGAACCCACAGTCTCAGAGGTAGCACCCCATTATTTTCTCACTATATTCAGCTGATACTCATGGAGACTCTCGAACAAGGGCATGGGCACCTCAAGGTAGGGACCACAGGACACTAGGTCAGAATATGTCCACTATGTTGGTCAGGTCACTTTATCCTTACAGAAATACTGTATGTCAGGGCTGAGATCTCCATGCTACAGATGAGGAAACTGAGGCCCAGAGACATGCCCAGGTCAAGAGGCCTTGAAGCTCCAAAGTCTATGGCTTTCAGCACTAAACCCTAGTGCCCAGTGAAGGGGTTAATAGGGAAGTCAGGTGTAACATTGTAAATATCAGTGCTGTGGCCTCAATAAATATGTCTCCTTCCCCAAGTATTCCAGTCTCAGCTCTGCCTCAGTGGAGCCCTTGAGGTATGAGTACAGCCCCAGATAACTTGGAAACTTAAATTCTGGAGGTTGCTCTCAGCTTAACCATGCCCTCAGTCATCTCTGATTGGTTACCATGCTTCACTTGTAACTTCTCAGTGACTACAGAACAAACATGTGCCAAAGATGTGAGGACTCAAAGAGCATCCCAAATATCAAGTCCTCGGAGTCACCAAGCTTCATACAAGGAAGAGGTTAGGACATGCATAAGGACTCGCCATATCCCAATGGCCTTGCTCATCAGCCCATGTCCCATGATCCCTCCATGCCTTTGTGGAAGATTTTCCATGAATACAGGCCAAAGACAGTGAGAAAGTGATGGGGTGCCACCTCTGAGACTGTTGTTACCATCTCTGAGAAATGTGTCTACAGTAGAATTAGAATTGAGGGTGTAGGAATGGGACTTAGAATAGTCCACATATCTGGGTTTTGGAACCTAGGAGAGATGTATAGACCATAGTAGAAATGACCTGATGGTCCATCAGAAGCAAGTGGCATGGAAGTGATGCTCTCTTCTGAGTAACATCATTCCTTGGAGGGCAGAGAAGCATGAGTCATGATGACTTGCACAGACTCCAACACTGAACAGTAATAAAAGTTTGCCAGGAATGACGTTTCTGCCCACAGCAGAGCCGGGGCTCATGGCTGTGTCAAGCAGGCTGCCTATATACCTTACATTTCATTCCACTCTTTCTTCGGAACTGCTGGGATGAAAATAAAGCATCTCTGAGGCTGTTGGAGTCACTGTTTTAGCGATGTGAAGAAATACCAAGGCCAAGACAACTTACAGAAGAAAGATTTTAATGGGGGCTTACATTTTCAGAGGTTGAGTCCAACATCATCACTGCAGGAAATGCGGTGGCAGGCAGGCATGGTGGTGGAGCAGTAGCTGCGTGCTTACATCTGAAATGAGGCAGAGAGAGGGCTAACTGGGAATGTCATGAGTTTTTGAAATGCCAAGTAACACACCTCCTAATCCTTCCTCATTAGTACTATCAACTGGTGTCCAAGCATTCAAACCTGGGAGCCTATGGGGGTCATTCTCATCCAAACCACCACACCCAACACACACAAAGGTTTCAGTTTGATCCTCAGCATTTCACAAAACTAGGCATGATGGTGCACACTTGTAACCCCAGCACTTAAGGAACGGAGGTAGGAGGATCAGAAGTTCAAAGTCATCCTTAGCACTCCTGGTAGAGCACAAACATACTTTACCAGGAACCTAAAACATAGACTGTCACCCCTTCATGGGTCATCACATACTACTCATGTGGTGATGACCCCTCCCTTTTAGATTACATAAACTAAATTCACTCTTTGCCCCACAGGTATTGGGCTTGGTCATGAGCCCTTTTTAGCCAATGAGGTATTAATAGAATAAATAGTATAGAAGTAATAGAATAAATAGTATGGAAGTAATAGAATAAATAGTATAGAAATACAAAAGCCGAAGAAAGCTATTCTATCAAATTTGCCCAGGATAGTGTCCTGACCCCAGAAGAATGAGAGACATGTGATGGGTGATAGAGACCCAAATTGAATCTACGATTCGGCCTCCAACTGACTGGAGATAAGAGAACAAAAGTAAATGTTTATTATTACTATTTGCCTTTGAGGGTTTTGTGGGTGGGGTTTATTATGCAGCATGATTATGGTGGTAGCTAACAGATACACTGTCTAACCCAAACACAAAAGAGAAGGGGACTTGAGAAAGAAAAGACCCCTGGGCATCCCAAAGTGCAGGCTGAGCTTAGAGTCAGGGACTTCCCTGGCCACACTTGTGAGTATAACCCAGCGGGTAGCACCCAGGCTGGTGCACACACAGACATACGCTAAAGAGCACCCTGCATATTTACTCATCAGCCCCGAGGGTGAGTATATTACGGAAGCCACCCCTCACAGTAATTGTGAGTGTTGATGTCTCTTTAAGCCAACGCCATTTTTCTCTATTTTCCCCCAGGAATTAATCTTTTTGTATTATTATGATGTTAGGTTTATCTTGAGTGAAACGTGGATGTGAATTTTATCTCAGGCTTAAGACATAATTGGGAGATAGAAAATTCAAACACCCAAGGAAAACCATTGCGCTATCGGCACTGCTCACTGCACGTGAGCCCTGAGGTGAAGCTGGGCTCCAAGAGGTGAAGCCGGGCTCACGTGCAGCCTCTTCTCGGGGCCTGCCCCTCCCACTGGCTTATCACCAGGGCCATTTGGATGAAGTTATTTGCTCAATTTAGGAAGCCATTACAAACGGCTAAGAGGGCCTTTCCTGCCACTGGGCTAGACAACACATGCACTTGGCCACAGCCAGGAAGGACACTTTTCAGGCTGCACCAATGCCGCTCAGGCCTGGTTCCCTACTTGTCCCGTGGATTAATAAGCAATAACTTAGGATGCTAAGGGGGGGAAGTTCACTTGAAAACACGTTTTCCTGGTTAAATAAATGTGGAGCACTCTGGACTCAAACACGTGTTCCTGTTCCCACAAGCGCTGTGGACCTTTCAGAGGGGCCTGATATGGCATTCCAAACTATTATATAGAATTCCCCCTCTCCCTGGTACTGTTTCCAGGGCCATGACAAATCTGCCAGATGTACCTACTCTGCAGCCCACAGCACATGTTCCCCAGCTGGCACAACACCATACTTAATTAAGCTTAACTCATACTGTTAGGGGTTTTCTTCCTATGCCCCCCCACTCCCTGTGTGATTCAGTTGTGCAGCTCTTGTAGATGACAGTGTCATATGGCAGTGTCAGAAAGTTGGACACTTTTAAGGGTTTCCTAGGACTTTTTCTTTTTAATTAGAAGTTCTTCCGGTGGTTGGTCAGCAGGTAAACCCAAGTGCCAGCAAACCAGACCATCCACGTTCTGTTCTCAGGCTCCGTATGATGGAAGGAGAGAACTGAGTCTTGCAAGGTGTCCTTTGACCTCCACATGTGTGCTTGCTAGGCACACACCCCTTTCTCTCCCTGGGCCCTCCCCCAACACACACAATAAATAGATAGGTAGGTAGGTAGGTAGGTAGGTAGGTAGATAAATGTATGTCTAAAATAGTTATTAAATATCTCCTAATTCAGTTTGGACCTACTCTCATTTCCAGAAAGTTCTTGTAGTAAGTTGCCTTCCACTTGCTCACTACATTTTACTGGATCTCTGCAACAGTTCTGCTCCTAACGAATAGCCATTTCTACACATTTATTTTATTTTGTTCTATTATTCTATACATATGGGTGTTTTGCTTGCACATACGTATGTATACTGCAAGCGTTCCTGGTGCCCATGGAGGCCAGAAAAGGCCATCAGATAGTCTAGAACTGGAGTCACAGATTGCTGTGAGCCACCAGCTACCATGAGGGTGCTGGGAATCCAACCCAGGACCTCTGAAATAATAGCCAGTGCACTAACTGCTGAGCCAACTCTCTAGCCCCAGTTTTCCACAATAATATTGAAGAGCACATGAGAAATAGAAGAAAGTTGTGTGCTCATTAAATTCTACCTCCCTGGACCTTGGTTTCCCCATCTGTGAAGTTTAGCTGTGACAGGTTTAACTCAGAAGCTGGTGTGTGCAGACTCTTGGGAAATGGACAACACTGTTTTTACCTCTCCAGTACCTCTGTCTTCCAATCTCCACCCCTCAAGTTAGTCCACAGTGGTTTTTAAGAAGTGTCCTTCATACTGTAGTTAAAGACAGGACAAAATTCAATTCCCAGGGGTTTGATTTTTTTAGTAGGATTATATGTTAGGCCCTGCAGTATCATACAGATGGAATGGTTATTCTCATAGTACTCAAGGCTAGCTAAGGGGAACGGCTGAGACAGTGTCTCAGGCTAGATGGGACAGCAGAGCTCAAGTTGACCTTGGTGGTTACAGCACATTCCCCTGGGCCTACCCTTCTTCTACTGCAAGCCTCTTTCATTATCTGTGGGCAGCCAACAGCTCTGTGCAAAACACTGTGCCTCAAACATACAAACTCTAACACACAGAACCAAGTCCCTGGAGGCCGGTCAAGCTGCCTGGGAGAAGCCCTGAATCAGAAATCTACACTGCCATCCTGTCAAAAGAGGAAGAGGACATAGAAGCCAAGGGCTCAGCAGGGACATCCTCGTGTCCCTCTTCCACCCCCTGATCTTGAGCGGAAAAGGACAAAATGCTGACACCACACTATCTTGCTCAAAAACAGAAGGACACATTCCAGCTGGCTCAGAACTTTGCCTGCTCTTTGTCCTTAAATATAACTAAGCTGCATGTGTGTTTTTTTTTCTGAATCATGCTCCCTTAACTCTGACGATCTGCCTCCCCAAATGGTAATCACCACATCTTCTAAAAGCCCCATTCTTCGCTCCACCTGGCCCTGGTCATCCCCCCTCAGCAGGTTATTTTTATTAGTTTATTATTATTATTATTATTGTCTTCAGAGGACAGTCAGAGTCAACTTCCAATCCTTCATCCTCCCCAAGGGAATTCAAGGCACGAAACAGAAGCGGAGTTCAACGTTCAATGTCTGCGAGAGCTTTATCAATGTCAAGGGTGTGGAAACATTTGTGTGCATCCAACTGCTGCCATTTGTTCATTGGTTCAATGCTCACTGAGTGTCTACGAGGTGCCTGGTATAGAGCTGGGTCCAAGGGACACAAGGACAATAACAATAACAACAAAAAACGGAAACAATTGAATTCGCTACTAGTGAATGTTTCCTGAGAGCTTGGCATTCATTCATTCAGTCTTTTAAACTTCACAACAGCCTTGTGAGACAGATACCATTATTTTCCTTTTTTTATGCATGAAGCAAACAAGGCATCAGCAAGATCAACACAGTTGTGAAGTGGCAGAGCTGAAACAGAGGGCTGGCAGGTGACTCCAAAGTTGGTGAACTTGACACCACATGGTATCACCTCTCCAAGGTTGCCTGGGCAGGGTCTGCCCTCAGGTTGCCCATCGGCTAATGCAGAGCCAGGCAAGTGAGCAGGCTAATGCTGTGGCTGGTGTCACAGGAGCTTCTGGATTGCTCCACACTTTGAGAGTGGTACCTAACCCTTCCTTCCAAGGAACTCTAACTCAGTGCTCTCGAGACCCCGTATCCAGACAACCTCCCAGAATTCTGGCCACTATGTAGTTCTAGAGTAAAAATCTACATTTTCCCCCCTTTAAAAATTATTTAACATATAATTTTAATTATACTTCATAATTTCACACATACAACGTATTTTAATCATAATTATTCTCCAAAATGGACTCCTTCCACCCCTTTCAGCGGCTATCAATAACTCCTCAGCTAGGGGTCGGGGTTCATGTGCCCTCTGTCATTGTCACTGGAATGTTGACCAGCTTGACCTTATGAAGGGCTTATGTGAGAAACCCCGGCTGCTGAGTTCCTGAGTAGGATGAGAAAATATGCAGTGTTTTAAAGATTTACTTTTACTTTTGTTGATTCACATGTGTGTGTTTGTGTGTGTATGTATGTAAGCCATGTGCTTGTGAGTGCCTGCGGAGAACAAAAGAGGATCTCAGATCCCCTGGAGCTGGAATTACAGGTGATCATAGGCTCCTCAGTGTGTGTATGCTGGGAACCAAACTTGGGTTCTCTGAAGGAGCAACGGTTCCTCTTAATCACTGATCTGTCTCTCCTGGCCCAAGAACCTAAATTTCTCACCGCCAGTGACAGACAGCCCTAGGGAGAGCAGGGCAAATGTTCGCACCATTAGCACATTATAATGAGGACATTCAGCCACTTTGAACGATGTCTTAAGTGATGCTCTGTGTCCTTCCAGTTCTTCCAGGCACAATTCTAGCAAGGACTGACTGGCCAATCTCCACAGCTGTAGGGGCTTCCCTCACTAGTGTTCAGCACTCGTGGAGACTCGAGACCGGAAATCCTGCTGTTGTCACTGAAGAAGAAACTA